AGTTCTTATTAAAGCACTGCTTTTCTGGATGCTTTATTACCACATTAGAAGCCTAAATTTTCAACTGAAAACAGCTGCTGTTTGCCTTACTGACTTTCTATTTCCTGAACCAAAGTAAGCAGTATGTCCTACCAGAATCTTAAGCTTCTGAAAAACATATCAGTTTTTCATGAACTGTGAGACCAAGAGTTCTCCGCTGCTTCAAGTTTCAGTGAGGCTTTTGCCTAAGAAGGCATAGCAGGACTGCTTGACAGCTGCCGCCTACCTAGCAGGTCTTTTTTGATCCCAATTTATTTTGTCTTGGGAGAAAAAAAAAAGGTGACTGTTAGATTTCTTTCACCTAGAAACATCATCTAACAAACATTAGTCACAAACACTAGTGTTGGGTAAAGCATATTGCATTTACCCACCCGAGGATGTGGCGCTGGTATAGTTTGCATGGTCAGAAAAGCACATCTATACATAGTAATAGAGAGATAAACAAGATTTATTGTGCATGGGAACTCTAGGAGTGTCTAGAGCAAATTTAGTATGCAAAAATTAATCTACTTTGGGTTGTCGTGGGATTGCCACAAGTGTAAGGGCAGTTTTTCCTCCCACCACCCATCTGCCTGTGTTGTTTGCTACCGCGCTAAATACCAAGGCTGCTCCTGAGGCATCTCATCAGACTTCTGGGGAAGTGGCAGTAAGCTGAAAGGTGTGAATCCCTCTCTGGACAAGGGAAAGCTCCTTGTCTGGAGACAGATACAGCTTGCTTATCTTCAAGTTACGATTTCTAGCCTTCAGAAAACTTGGATGTGCTGGCTTGTACTTGGCTTGTATTGCTTTTGCAGTGATAATATACTTTCTGCCTTGAAATGAGATTTGCAAAATACAAAAAGGCAGCTCTGGAGAAGAGTTATCAAAACACATTGCTATGTTTTTCTTATTTCCAAACACCGAGTAACATTTACATGACAAGCAAGGAAGGCATCTAAGCAGAAAGGAGAATTGGAAACGGCAAATACATAGAAAGTTCAGAAATGCAGACATTTATCCTGATGTTTACCCATATTCTAATGCTTCAAGAAGACCGAACACTTTGTCACAAGTTGAACAGCCTTTGCCAGCCAAACTGTTTGATGTTGTGCTGGCTCCGTGACAAAACCAGGCCGTTCAGGAGCATTGGCATTGTTTGATGATCAAAGTGAGCCCTAATGGTGCTAAACCTGAGCTGTGGTCTGACCCGTTTCTCTCCCTCAACCATCACTTCTCTACATTGCCAGCGGCTTTTTCTTGAGCTGCTGCAGTGTGATATTCTGCCAGTTTAAAGCATGGTCAGACTTTTATTTCAGATGATAATTGATTTTCATATATAATCTGCTATGCTTGGTAAAGAGGCAGGAGGTTGTGAATATGTCATGGCAGTGCGGAAAAAGTTGCTTTCAGGATATGATGATTTTCAGTTTCTGCTGGCTCTAATGATATTGCAAAAGAAAGAGGAAGCAAAAGAGCTTTAGCAACTTTTGGATTAAGCTCTTGTGCAGGTTAATAGTTAAACGTATCTTTAAAACTAAGCATACGCTTATGTTTCTGTTTTAAAGTAAAGACATGGAGCAACTATGGCTACAGAAGGATACAAGTGGATTACCCCAGTAATTCATAGAGGTATCCTGCACAGGACGAGGCACTGCACGTTTTTGTAGTTCTGTAGTTGGTTTTGCTTTCATAGATAGTAAAAGAGTCTTATAATTTCAAATAAAATTAAAACTGATTAAATATCATGAAATCAAATATCAGATGCTCACAAAATATTACCCCATTAATGACAACTGAAGCACAATAGAGTTAAGTAACTTCATAATTCAAGTTTCAGTTTTCTAGCTCTAGTTTCTCTACTCAAATGTGACATAAGCCATCATAGAGCACTTCACAGAACACTTACAGAAAGAGTTAAGGGTTTATTCATTGCTGTGTTGCTTCACAACCCATATTGTTCAAGGCAATTGATGGGGCTGGAATTCAAATATCTCTTCTGTTGGCTTTGATTACAATTAACTATGATGTCAAACAGAGTGACCAGGAGAAAACGCACCAGTCAGTGATACTGAAGGCTGGATACTAGCTCCTGCAGTCACACCTACCACCTGTCTTTAAATCATTTGGTGTGGTCTAGCCCTTACTGTCTCCTTGGAAGCAAGGAAGTCAAGCAGACTCTTCTTACAGTTTTTGAGTAGCTGTCACTGGTTCAAAATGACTAAGCCTTAGTAGATATTCCACCTTCACTTTATAGCACAATGGACTTGACTTAAATCAGTGAAGGCAGATTCCTGTCAAAGCTGTAGTAGACATTAGGGATGGATGAGAAGACTTGGAAGAAAATAACTATTTTAGATTTTTGTACAGCGCATCTCAATCTGAATTTATTGTAAAGTTCTGAAATGTCCAAACACATTTTACTGCCTTTTGCTTTCCAGATGGTTCTGCATCCAGAACACCAGAATACCACAAAAATGCTGCTTTTTTTTTCCTGCTGCAATCAGAAGCAGCTGCAACAGGAGGCTATAGAAAAGTCTAATTCTTAGAAAATGCCTGTCTCTGTTTTTCCAAATAAAAGAAGTTGAGATAATTTCAGTAAACTTTGCAGGGGCATCCAAACATTTAGAACTGCATTAGGACACACATTTCAAACCCCTGGAAGCTTATCCTTCACTAGCCGTTTGCTCCTAATGAGGGAATTGGAGAAATCCAATGAGTAAAACTCAAGAGACAGGATTCTGCTCTAGCCCAGCTCTAATTTAATAGGTGGCTTTGACAGTATCACTTAAATTCTCTGCTGCTTGGTTTCCCCGCTGACCTCGGGAATCACACTTCTAAAGCAGTTTGCTGGAGTTTCAAGTTCACACCCTTACTATTATTATTTTATTATTCACTGTAAACATGTACAGTGGTGAATTTAACGTTTTTTAAGACAAATCGTTATCCAGCATCTCATTGAATTCTATTGAAATTCCAATAAGAGACCAGCATTTGGGTTTTAACCAGCAAGTTGTCAAGACCCCCCAGAACTAGCTGACATCTCTGAAAGTTGAGGGTGTACAGTAATTTCAGAAACTGCACAGCACCTTGCAGGATCAAGCCCATAAGGAATTATTTTACTATTTATACTTCCATTGTAAAGCTCTTGCTTGCCTTTCCAGTTCGGCTTTGCAGTCCTTGTATTCAGTGGGTTTACACAGCTACATATGCACACCTCCTTCAAAACATTTGCCTGTATCAAGCATACCATTTGGAAATATGCACACACATGCTTACGCATAAACCACATGGTGAGGTGCAGGAAAATGAAGGTGCTTTTAAAGTTTTTATTTTTATCTGACTTTATGGAAAATTAAAAAACAAGACAAGATTGTAATTTAACCAAGAATACCTTCATTGATATTAGTTCCCAGTATCTAGTAAGGGGGGATAATATCTAAATGAATAAATATAAATAAGTAAAGAAGGTTAACATACAAGCTCTTGGGCTTATATGGAAGTTGACTGATCCTTGCAGTGATCCTGACTCATAATAAAAATGATTTATTTGAAGATTTATTATGAACATTGCAGGAAAGGAGATAACAGACATGAACCACTTTGTTTACAGTAAAATTTCCTGTAAATTAAAAAGAGTTCTTATTCTCTGTTTGGTTTTGATTTGGTACTGTACCAAGTATCTGTTTATAAAAGGAAATATGGCTGTACAAAGTGTACGAAGTGAATTGCAAAAGAGATTAACAGCCAAGGAGAATTTGCTTTAAATTAAGTCCTAGCAACCCAGAGGCTGTAGATTCCATTAAGGTAAGGAAAGTTGGTCTAAGGCAGATCTTTCATGCACCATCACTGAGAGCTGAACTGCCTGAAATTCAGGCCAGAAAGCTCCTCTCCAAACTGGGATTGGAGTTTGCTCCACAGCAAACTCGTGGGTCACTCTCAGTGTCAAAAGAAGGTAAACTTAGCTGTTCGTCATGCTTGAAGGTCCCTGATCTGTGTGCTAGGCTGCAATGATCTCAAGTCCAAGAGCAGGGCTCTCTAAATGCTTCTTTCTCCACTTTCTGAGGAACTTCAGCTGCTGGTGATGTTAATCAGAAGTGGAGACCCTCGGCACAGTGCAGTAAGTGGAGATCCTAACAGAGCTAAAATGGTTTTGTTTTACTGAGGTGCCAGTGCATACAGTAATGACCTAAGAGATGCATCAGTGAGAAAAAGCCTAAATTGCTTTTAAAAAAAGATTCAGGTAGTGAAGAGATAAGGCAGGAAAAAAATGTTGCAGGGCACTGTATAAAATAAAAGTTTGGTAGAAAGTAGGTAGTGTGTTTCAAAGGGACTGTGTCTTGAGGACTTTTTCCTGCAATCCATTTTTGCGGAGCATTTTTGCTTATAATACTCCCTGAATAGCTTATTAAAGAGTCTTTCTGAAGTCACATTCATGTGACAAAGTATGTTGTGACCTCAAATCATCCCATCCCACAGAAATACTTCTGGGAGGAGTCTTGGATGAAGATAATGTATTCACAGTTGAAAAAGAATAATGAAAACAGACATCACATGTTTCATCTGAAAACTAGAAAACAACCTGTTTTGCAGCAGCAATTCACTTTTTTGAATTAGCCCTGGAGCCACCCTGGTATCTCTAGAGATTGGAAAACCAAGATTAGGACTTCATGAATCTCCAAAGTATCCACACAGGGAAAGAAAATGTTTGTGGATGGAAGTGCTGGATCAGGGTCATATTCTCCTTGTACGTACAACAAAAGATTTACATGGAGGATAAAATCCTGAAATCATTAATATTATCTGGAGGCCAAGAGTTACACGCATTCATGGGGTTTATTCCATACTGTTCTAGGACCCTTTATTTGATATGCAGTGCTGTGAAATTAATGCTGGATTTTTAAAACCACGTAGTTAACAAAACCAATTTGCAGACAATCCTGTGTATACAAGTCCAATGGTTTAGAAGGTGTGTTGGCACTTACCTGGGGGCACGTGTTCATTCATGATGACAAGCGATGCTGGTGTAGGCCTTCTTTTCCTGATCTGTAACATGCAGAAATCAAGGAGAGTCAGTAGGGTCCACCAACTGCCTCGCATCCAAAGCAAAGCAAAAAAATCCATCTGGTGCACTCCTGAATATAGCGCAGGCGAAGTTAAAAAAGAAAATAAAAACCAGCAGCACATCACGATCTTACTGACTGCTCGTCTGATCTGTCAGTGATCAGGGTCATGCTGCTGCTTGTACATGGAAAGCAAAGGCATGGGGGAAGGCTTTCCAAAATACCTTTAGAATTAGCAATCATCTTGAATAAGTTTCTGGATGTGTATTGCTGACATGTATCGGTCGTATCTTAAAATATTGGCATTTAGCTTTGCTTCTGGAAAATGATTGCCATAGTTTGTGAGTTATATGAGCGAATACCTAGAACTGCCATAGTTCTCACAAGTAATCATCAATACTAATATTTCGTAAGTGCACTTGAGAGCAGATATTGCATGCATACCTTGCAGTGAATTTATAATATTTCTAAGCTGTGGCCAGAGGCGTTACTATTATTCTTTAACTAAAGAAAAACAATGATTTAGACTTTCAAAAGAATATTTTCGAAGAGCTCTATAAAACAGATCTTTACATTTTAACATATAATCCTGAATTGTATGCAATTCTTCTTATTCAGAGTTTATTTGGTGAAGTACTTTCGTTCCATTAACACTGGTTGAACTACACGATGCACACCTTTGCATTGAAGCTTCATGTTGCTTCATAAAGCCTCCAGGCTATTGACATTCTATTGAATTAAAGAGATGGACCAAGAGTATTTCAGCTAGAAAACATTGTGACACAAAACCTCAATGTCAGTGCATTTGTTCTTTTTTAGTTGCTGAGCCAACATCTGTATTTAGCTGGGTTCAAATTTTGCTTTCAGAGGTGTAAATGGAAAATTACATCATCAGAGTTAATGGGTTTATTCCAGATTAGCGTAACTGTAGCTGACACCAGAATTCACTACTTTAATTTCATCACACACGCACAGTGAAACTGTATAGCTCTTGGAATTAAACTCACAACATTAAAAGAAGACTGCTCATAAATAGTGGACAGAATTTGGGCTATAGCATTCCAAAAGCCATGGGAATTCTGGGAAATCCTAATCCTATGGTTCTCACAGATTTCACAAAAGTATTCGAACACATCCTGCTTGAATTCATTGCAGGACTGTTCCATAAGGTACGGACATCTCACAGCTCAGAAGTACCTATGGACAAAATGAAGAGCCGCAGCAATTCTCCCCTGCACCCTTCTAGTATTTCTTCCTCCAATGGTCACTCACAACTCATCGTTTTCCAGCAAAGGTGGCTGCCTTTTAAGAGACACGACATCAAAACATTCAGGAAACCAGATACCTGTCCTAAAGGTGCAAATAATTTTATAGCTAATGGCAAGGAACTGTCAAGGTTATAATATTCCCCTGGTATAATCTAAAACTAGACTTACTGAAATAGAAACAAATGTTGAGAAGGACTTGCACTGAGAGAAATATACTGGGTCACCTAATTACGATTTATCCAGCTTTTCCCTTAAGTTTCTTTGTGTCCTTCTTTATGTGCGTCTACGCATATCAGTACACAATAAGAGGTATCTTTTCCTCCTCAGACATCTGAATTGCTATATATATTATATGTATGTGTATGTTTTGAGAGTGAGACAACACCTAAAATAGTACATACATAATTCCAACGTGGACGTATGTCAGGCATATTTCTACACGTATATATTTTTCAAATATGTAGAACATGGTAACTATGACATAAAGAAGACTGTTTAAAACTCATGAGAAATACAGGAGGTAACTGAAGTGATAACTATTGTGCAAAACATAACTCATATTTTCTCATGTTAAAATGAATGATAAGCTGTTTTCTGAGCAATGTTTCCATTAAGTACCTATTATCAGCTTCATACTTTGCTTTACGTACAAATAATATACTTCAGTTGATTTGTTGAAAATGTATATTCATGCGAAGTGTATGTATTAAGGCACAAGCCCAGCTACAGAAAAGGCACAACAAATATATACTGAATAAACCTACCCAAGATAAAGAAGCCTTATTCTGGCTAGAGGACATATCCTCCTCCCTCTTTGGGTGTATCCAGACATCGCTATAACCTCCAGAGCATTTAATCTATAGTTACACTAATGTAAGTTAGAAAAGCATTTAGGCCACAAGTATTACCTGTTCTTATCCCACATCTTGCCCCCATTCCTACCCCATTCCCTCAAAACACCAAAAGAAACTCATCGTCCTTACCTGCTCAGCTGCCTCAGGATCTATTTGACTCTGAAACAGTGGCACAGCAAACTGTATTTTTTTAGGGCTGTTGGGCTCCATCGTGATGCTGAGGCAAGTCAGACGAGAGGAGAGCCTGGAGCCTGAGACTCGGTCGGCAACTCTCCCCGGGCGCCCTCCCCGCAGCAGGGCTGAGCCCTCCTCGAAACAGCTGTAGCTCCTGACTTAGCACGGGAATCTGCGAGAGCCGAGCAACTCCCTTATTCCACATCCACGGAGATGCCGCTGGCTTGGCTATTTTGGTTTTTTTCCCCTCTCTCCTCTCTTCTGCAGTCCTTCAGATCCTCTCAGCACAAAGCTGAAAGGAACAATAAGCTAATTGTGTACGGGTTTCACTTCTACATATGCCAAGCATTCGCTCAGAAGCTAATTGAAAATGCAATACTAGCGTTGCATGGCCTGGAGCCCTGGGATTTGAAAAAGAGGATCTCTCCACTGTACATTACTAACAGGCTGCTCAGAAGTGCAATGCAAGCTCCCTCTGAGTATTGCTGATGGGCTCTTAATTATTGATGAACACAAATCAGGAAGTTTTCAGATTTTGGGGGTGGAGGTAGCAGGAGGGGTGGATGCAATAATTCCAGCTCTGTTACAGTGTGCCAGAACCACTCTCCTCTTCTCATGTATCAAACAATTGCCTTTGCTCTTTCAAATCCTTTTCTAAACCTCTTCCAGGAAGATTTTTGATGGTGATGCTACACAGATGCCTCCACTTTCTCTGGTCTGCTAAGTGGGTTTGCACCTCAGGCTGGGTTTGCAGACTTAGATGGCAGTCTTTTCTGGTGGGTTCCATCTCACATGACTTTGGCTACTGAGAACATCCACATTTAAGCCAGTTATCTGGGCTATCTCATGCTAGACATATCAAAGGGCATTTCACCCTGTCCTAGTTAAGTAGAACACGGTGTTTACTGAAGATGACATTTTCTCTTCACTAACTCTAGAAAAAGTAAAGATGACTTAGACTGGTCACCTCACTCTCAGATGACTAAAATTCAGAGGGCCAAATCCTACTTCAGGGTACAAAATCTGTGCTTTCTTCCAAGACCAGAAGAAAAAGAATTGGGTCACTCATACCAGCAGTATCCTTTGGTGAACATAATTGATTTTCACTTTTGTTTCATCTTAATTCAAGGGAAGTGTATGAAAGAATACACAGCGACCACTGACTTAACCCATCTCCTTGCTTAGAGCATGCGGCCAGCGCCAAGCAGCACAGCGGAGCTCCTGCAGCAAAGGTGTGCTTGATGCCAAAACTGCATCGCTGGACAGAAAATGCCCTAGAGCCAGTCCAAGGGGCTATGCTGAAAGCTTAGCTCTAAGTCAAACAGTGTTGGACCAAATCTCCTGTTACACACTACCTCCAACTGGGATGAAAGAGAAAATGAGATACAGCAGGAAAACCCAGACTGGCCCAGTCTATCACAGAATCAGCTTTATCTGAGATGAGGCTACTTGCAGAGAGAAAGTGCATTTTGGTCAGGTTTTTGGAGGGCCTGTGAACAATCTCAACAGGGGAGGGAAACACAACCAGCCAGAACTAAGAGCTGCCAGATGAAATTCACAGAGAGGAGTAACAACTGGAGTGTGCCTCTGACAGGCTGCAGTGAGGAGGCAGAGAAGCAGCTGAATGCTGAGCTGGGGCTGGACATCACCAAAACCCAGAGGAATTTGAAAATGCATTTCTTGTTCAGGCCACTGAAAGCACTAAGGGTTTTCACAGTTCATCACAGGTTTATTCAGAGTATTTTCTCACCTGTGTCAGTGGAGGAGGTGGGGAAGGAGTGGGGATCATGGTCAAGAACAATGCACAGGCCATATACAGCAGAACAAACCAGTAAGTTAGGGATGGAATGTTCGTTTGGCTTTGATTTGTACAAATGAGAACTGCTAACACATCATCTGAATACCAGGGTATCTCTGAACAGAGGCAATCACACTAGCCAGTTGGTTTATGAAGAACCTGATAAAGCTCAGGAGGTGAGAATACACGACAAGTTGATTCAATGATCAAAACCAACTCTCTGTGAGGGCTGAAATCTCCCTCCTCATCCAAATCAAAACTATTGCCTTCCAGCTGATGTCTAGCTGGCAATTCTCCTGTTAGATTTATTGTGATAGTTTAGGTGGTATTAACTTAGAATTGTAGAACCAGAGAAGAGCATCACTTGGAAGGGACTTCTGGAGATACCTATTCCCACCTGCTGCTCAGAGCCCAGGTTACACTGGTCTCTCTCAGGCTGAGTCCTGAATATTTTCAGTGCTAAGGTGAAACACTCAGTTTCATTTACCACAAGAAACTAAAGACACGCACAGAATAGTTATGTTCAGTGTTTCACATGATCATTTTTAAGCCTTCACTATTCCTGTAAAGAGGAATCATAATTTGCTTTATAGACTTCCACAGACAATTAGAGCCAGAGCACAACTGCAGCAGTTCTGCTGGTACAACCAAGAGTCTAAGACACTAAAGCAAGAGAGGCACACACTACTTCCACCAAGGACAATTAAAGAGTTGTTTTCAGGACTGTCTTATTATCCAATTTCACAAGTCCTTCATGAACAGACATGCCATTAACTTCAATGACAGCTTCAGACACAGAGGATATACAGAGGGATACAGCCAGGGAGAGGACATACGCAGGGACCTAAGTTGTAGCTTTTCTCTGATAAATTTTCATACTTGAAAGAAAATAATTTTTGTTTCCCCAGTCCCAGATAACATGAGAAAAATGTTTTCCAGCTGCTTTGCTATTATATATATTAATAAATAGTATATTTTAAATATCAGCTTTCTGTATGAAAAAACTGTTTGCCATAAAATATCTATTATAACTGTCTATGAAACCACACATTAAATTATGCTATAATTACAGTGTATGTTACTGTATTACAGGAGCTATAAATCTCATTACAAAGGTTTAAAATTTCTCATGTTAATGATAAAGTCGGTTGAAAAAACACATTCAGTTTGTGAAAGAATATTTAAAACATTAAATATTCAAAGGATTATAGAGGTGTGTTTCAGCTCTAGATTGCTGGACATTGCTGTCTGAAGAAATCATGTCTCAAAGTTCTTGCTAGTAATAGTATCTGAGAAAAGAGCTCAACAGTCATATGAAGAAACAAACCAACAAAAGCACTTCTTGGCAGGTCAGAAGGGAGCCAGGACAACAGGACAGGACAGGACACAAGGACAAAATCTGTAATGGGGCTGCTATGCCCCGGAGAAAGGCCCACTGACGATGCGATGTGGAGATACTTGCTTCTGCATCCCTCCTCTCTGTGTTTATTTGGAGCTGGCTGCCCAGCAATCTTCACATGCACTAGAACAATAAAAGTATTTTTAAAATAGTATAAGAGGTATATTTCAGAGAGCACTGGGGTATAGCATTTCAGGATTACTACATCAGCTCACTCTTACACCTAATTTGCAGCACTAGATGTCTCCGGGCAAAGTGTGCTTGCATTTTCTATAGACTGCATCATAGTCTGGGGAAGAGCTGAAATGCATTTAAGTACTGCCAAATCCTTTTAGCTCATCTTCTGTTTTTAGTGCACTCCCCACAATGTTTCAAATTCCTTCATGATTCAGCTAAAACCGTCATGGAAGAAAAAACAATAATAACTGTGATCTTTCCTTCCTATGTCATTCACCAGGTTCTGGTATGAAGCTCTGCCTTTTAATATATCCCACTGCAGTGATGAGCTACCAGAGCACTCCTGGCACAGATCCTGCTTCAGATATTTTTCCTATTGTGTTAGGTGAGGTTTATTTTTTTTTTTTCCCAGTCAAAGACAGAGGCTGCTGGAAAGGGAATTCAAGGGCCTCTGTCCTCAATTTCTGTTGTGGCTGTGGTCTGCCTCAGCTTATCTGCTGTGGCCAAGGACTGCTGCAGCACCAGCCTGGCAAGGAGAGAAGAGCAAACTGGAGCTGTTTGTGAAGCCAATCTACTTAAGGCTTTGACTCCACATTTCACCAGTGCAGATGCACGGAAGCATTCAGTCCCAGTTCTCTGATCCACCAGGCTGCCTCTGCAGGCAAAGACTCAGCATGGAAGTGGCGCTCCTTCCAGTGCGTCTCTTAGGATATATCTTTAACCCCCACTGATCTGCAAGGACCTTTGCAAAGATATGTTGATCTGTGCTTTCCTCGGGCTCTCTGCTCTGGCCAAGTCCGCTCCTCACACCAGCATCTCCTCAGCTCACTGCTGGGCATCCCCAGGGACATCAGGGGAAGACACGCCGCAGAGCACATTGCTTCCTGGCTGCTGCTTGCTGGCTTTCTGCTGCAGCCAAAGGAGAGTTGAGCGTGCCCCTTCCTTCTGCCCTTTTCTAACAAATTGTCAGTTTATTCACTGCCTCTGTCCATACAGAGGCATCGGTTTCGTAGATCTTGGTGTTGGTTGTGGGCAGAAGGGAGGCAGCAAGCACGAACACTGGGCACAGTCTTTGCCGTGCACACCATACCTGTTCATGGAGAGGTTCTCCTCTTGGAGCTCTACACCGGCCATTGCTCATAGGTGCTAAAATGACACACAAGCCTTCCAAGAATAAACAATAATGTATTCAAAACAACCCTGAGAGTTCCCTTTCAAAATAGCTACATACAGGCGTTGCAATCAGGGTGGCTCCCACTCAACTGCTGGAAACAGAGACTGCTATTTATATGCAGAAAATGGAAAGAATTTAAAATCTTCAAGGGTGGGAGAACATAGAGCAGATCATGTCTGTCTCGTGAGTGTTAAGTGCTGCCACAGGCAGGTCAAGAAGAAGAACAGAAAGTCTTGTTGAGCAGTGACGGAGTCGGTGGGACATTCAGCAAGAACTGTTGCCCTGCGACAGCCTAACCCAAATTTCCATTGCCAGTACTCGTCCATCAAATGGCAGGCCTGGGCATGCTTACGTACCGACGACATACATGGACTCATAAAGACTAGATAAGTCATAAGCTTTATGAATGGACTAATTCTATTTATACGATCTCTTTAGTCGAGGTAATCATTCCTTAGTATAATTTTAATCTTATTCAGTTTAAAGTT